GGCCCCGTCGACCATTTTCCTACTTCTTCTTCAGGACCTTGCCCTGGGCACCGTCGACCATTTTATTACTGGGCATAGTCGATCATGGTCCTACTTCTTCTTTAGGACCTTGCCCTGGGCACCGCCGATCATTTGTTTTTTTTACTTATCCGGGTTTACCTTGCCCTGGGCATAGTCGAACAATTTCCTATTTCTTCTTTAGGCCCTTGCCCTGGGCCCCGTCGACCATTTCTTGCTTAAGCCTGTGAGCGGCTAAGCCCTGCATCTTAAACCCCGAAACTCATTAATCCCGAAATTGACTCATCGCCTAAACTCTTTAATTACCGCTTAAACAAATACCAAGACTAAGTCTTTAAAACCCTAGAGCCTGTTAACCTTTTCCTTAATCTTTTCAGCTACGCAACAAAGCACAAAAATTCTTTAAATTGGAAGCTTCCAAACTAAATAATCTTTTGGGGGCCTGGCTATGTTCTTATTGATTGTTATTGGTCTTTGCCGTCTCTAGGTTGGTCACCAAGAGCTGTCCTCAATCGCGCGGGCATTGGCGGCATTAAACATTCGTGATTTCAAGTCTCTAGTTTGGTCACCAAGAGCTGTCTTCAGTCGCGCCGGCATTGGCGGCATTAAACATTCGTGATTTCAATTTAATTGGGCACGCCGGCAGCAATAACAAGCCCTGTGGTTGACAAGACCCGTCGGATTGAAATGCGTCTTCAAATAAAGGATGCTGACTTGTTGATTGATGCTTATTGTTGATTTGTACTTGTTGGTGTCTCCAGCGCTATGTTTGTGTCTGAGACGGATTCTGATTGGCTGCGGACATGGGGCCACATGACAGTAAAGCGTGTCACCTCAATAGCTGAAGGAACGCTCCACCAACAGGCGCAGGCTTCAGAGAGCTAGATTCAATAACAATTCCATCGTTTATCGCGAGAAAGGAAATAAAGGCATGGCCTGTCAGAAAGTGCCACGGGCCGCGGTTTTTTTGACGCTTGCGAGGCTCTCTGTCCAGTTGGCCGCAGCAAATTGAAGGCCAGATACCTCGGCAGAAGTGTTCTTTGCAGCTTGCAAATAAACACTCTGTTGATAGCGCAAGTCTGAGCACCGCTCTGGCTCCGCGTGCAACTGCTGTCCAGCACCCGCGGGATGATCGTCGTTTCTGCCTTAGCTTTCGATGTTCCATCATTCACGTTTCAAATTTGTTGCGCTTGTGGTTGCAGCTTGGCTACATAGATCATGCTCGCCTGCAGCTTGGACAATACCGCTTTCGCTTCTTCGGATTTTGGCATTCTGTCCATTTCATACAACATTTCCGGCATGTGTGCTGATTTTTCTTGTACCCCACTGTCCGCTCTGAGCAATTCAGGCATCGCCGTTGCCGCTTGTTGCTTGCGCACAGCACATTGTCCACGAAGAGCTGCTCACAGCTTCGGCACGTGAACCATCCAGTGAATGTGCCGGGGTTTTGTCGAACTTGCTCTTGACAGGCTTTGCAGGCAACATATTGTGGAGGCATGGTCACCATGGCCGGGATGAACTCGCCGACGTTCTTGATTGAATTGCATTTGGAGCACTTTAAAAGGTCGATTTCGCGCAAGCACCTCAGGCAGCGCCGCGTAGACAGCTTTTGGTCCTGGAGCGTTTCGGAAATAGAATTGCAAAGTTGAGCGTGAATTAGCAAGTGAGACAAGGCCAAGCCTCTTCCAACTCAGCCAATTGAGCGCGTGGGAAAGCAGCTTCGATCTTCTGGCGCTTGCACGTCGTGCAGCTTGCATATTTCAGGGGCCCGCTCGATGTCGCGCGCCTCTTCACTCCTGGCAGAGGGCACGGCGCAGTTTCAATGTTTCTTGGCTAAAGGCAGCGCGTTTTGTGCCGTGTTTCATTTCACACCCCTTGCCTTTCATATCGCTTTTGCAGCCGCTGCATGCGGCGTCTGAATTTGCCCGGATGAGCTCCCAGTCTTTGTGTTCAAAGCAATCATATGTGCGGATTTGCTTGCACGAAGTGCATGTAGCGTATGGCATGCGGGCATCTCGAATGCCTTCCCAATCAATTTCTTCACCCCGGAGACGTTGTAATAGAAGCGTTGGCCCTTCAGATGCACCACGTTGGTAAAGCCACAACGGGAAAGGCCGGAGGATCAGCGCATCGTCTCGACGCTTCACCCGGGAAGCGCCAACCACCCCAAAGCTTTTGTCTACACGTGAGTCCACGTGCAAATCCAACAGCTCTGCCAGCAATGTCTTGCCCTGGCTACAATACGCAGTCATTGCAAACCCAGGCACGAGTGGAAGCTGGCGCCTCGTCACACCCAGCAATTTGGTCTTCCGGGCTTTGTCCAAATGCCATGTTCGCACTCTTGGGTAAATAGGATAAACGCCTTCTTCGTCGATGCCATCGAGCTTCCAAGTTGCCCCTTCAAACTTGACATAGACAACTGTTGGTATCCGGTCGTTTGTGGGCCAAACCCAGGAATGCACTCGGCCCCTGGATCCTTTCAGCAAGCACTTGTCACTGGATTTGTCTAAGTGCTCAGTCAACGCCACTGGCATCCCCAGGGCCAACGGTAATGCTCCAGGCAGGCCCCCTGTGTCTTGGTCGTGGTATTGGAGCCACCTAAGTTGACGCACGAAAACCTCGATTCGTTCGATAATGCTACGGTCGATCTCGGCAATGGGGGGCGGCTACAGGTGCGGTCAAGTCGCAACAGCTTCGTTTCTTTGTCAATTGCTTGGTTTTGTAGGACAGCTGAAGAGGCTTTGTCGACGGCAAAGGACCAATGCAGAGGCACCCCGGTTGTTCGCGCAAAGTATTTGGCCCGATCTTTGTTTATTTGGTACTTGGCATCGTTGTTGGCGACAATTGCTGGCGCGCACAGAAAGCGATCTTCCGTCAAGCGCTCGTCATTGGGGCCGGTGATGACCCGACGGCGGGAAGCTCGCTCTTCAGCAGAAAGAGGGCAATTGTCGACAGGCTCACCGTGCAAATAGGCGTGGTTGGCCTTAGAAAGGCTGCATGTCCGTAGCTGGTCGCACACCTCGTTCCACCAAGGGTCCTCCGGGCACAAGCCACACGGTAGCTTTTAAGGAAATGTAAATTTTACATCAAACCTAAAAAATGACCACCGTGTCGCGTGTCCTTGCAGCGTTCTCGTTGTGTCAGCTCGGTCACACCACGCGTAGATTCCCACATCAGCATTTGGCCTTGTTCCTTTAGAGCATCCGGCTGCGCCGACTGAAGAAGCAGCCGTGGAGGAAGGCTGCCCAAGAAGCCGCCTTCTACAGGAGGTAATTGGAAGAAATCGCCGCCCATGAGGACATTGACGCCGCCAAATGGCCTTGCGCGCTTGAACAAACATGGCAACAGTGGGTTCATATTTATTTGTAACGCACTGCCGCCCAGTGCCTGGTCTGGCCATTCTTGTCGAGCTTGAACTGGTCGGCGTCATGCTTTACGGCCCGGATGCGGTGGTCCATGCGCGCAAAGAGCCTGGCCCCAACCATGCTGATTTCGTCAATGAACAGCCATCGCCAGAAGGAAATCCTTTTCGCTGTGGTGGCCGCAACGGCCGCAGCTTCTTTGGCCTGATATTCGTCGGCGTTGAAGCCACAAGCAGAGTGTATGGTTGTGCCACCCAAGGCAACGGCGTTGACTGATTGATATGACACAACCTCATAGTCGATGCCTTGCCTGAAGCCCAATACCGAGTCGAAGAGCTCTCGTAAAAAGACCAAGCAATGAGATTTGCCCGTGCCAGGTGGCCCATGCAGAAGATGTAGTAAAGGCTCATCGCTTCCGAGTGCTCTTTCATTGGGTGGGATCAAGCGATGTTCTGTTAGGAGCCTTTCGACCACCAGCGCCAAGAATTGGTGCTGCTGAGCGTTTGTGCCTTGTTGCACGTGGTCGCTATGAAGCCACTCACGAAGCTGCGCGGCCGTGAGTCTAGGCCGCACCTCCTGCACGCTGGGCTCGCCAACAGGAGCGCCAAGCATGCCCATTACCTTGCGCGTCTGTGAGGAGTGCTTGTTGCTGGAAGCTTGCGCAGATTTCTTTGCCAATGCATGGTCGATGGCTGGCTCTGGATTCAAGCTTTCCCGCGCTTGGCATGTTTGGTCCACAGGGTTGCGTGCCGCTCGCAGCCAAATGGAGCCGGAGAGCTTGAACATATGCTTGGTCATTTCATGTAGCTTCGTCGTCACCACTTCGTCTTCTTCGCTTTCCTCCAGCTCGTGCGAACCTTTCTTCTTCGAGCGGCTGCCTTTGATGTGGGTCTGCGTTGCGTGCAGCATGTCCTCTTCATCCAAAGCCAGCACGACGTCATCCTCGATGCCCTCGTTGTCGCTGTTCTCAAGCAACCCATCTACTAGCTGGTGCTGGCGCGGCAGGCAATATGTGAAGCAGAAATTGAGCACCAAGCGCTTGACCTCCTGTTGCGACTGCTCTTGACACCACCCCTAACCGGTTTAAATTTCATAGTTCCAAAAAAAGAACCTTCAGGAGATCAATGGCTAGCGCGGGACCGCAGAACTGCACAGGGTTGCCCGCTGGCCTCTGTTGGAAAGCCTGTGCGTCGGACCCGGAGGCACAGTGCTTCACGCCAACTTCGGCAACCTTCAGGGCGCAAGTTGCCAACGAAGGGCACTTCGGGCGAAGCGTCCTGGACGTCGTTCACCCATGGAAAGAATAATGCAAGGATCCGCATGGCTTTTTCTTCATCGTTCTTGCTGCCTGGCAGGGCTGTTGTCGTAAAGAACAGCTGCGGAGAAAAGACCGCCCCCGACCTTGCGCGCCAAAGATGACGGGCACATATGGGCGCCTTCGCGGCAGGATGATCCAGTCATGCCGGTAAGGCTGCGCGTGCTCACCGTCGCCAAGTGGAAGCCAGGATGCGCCCGGCCCACCTTCCTCGCGGATTGTGTAATGCAAGCCTGGTAGCATGTCTGGGCGCCTTTTGGCCGCTTCCGCCACGCCCTTTGCAGTTAAAACGGCGTGGTATTTTCCTGGATCTTCCATATGCTTTTCATGGCTTCTTTGGGTGGTGGGGTGGCTTGCCAGCGCGAAATCGAACTCGCGAGCGAACTCATAGGCAGAGAGATGGTGGACCTCAGGCAGGGCATGTTTCCAAGAAACGTTGCCTTGCATAGGGCAATTGCTCAATAAAAACGGAGCGCGCAAATTTGTGGCCAGCGCGTCAAAAACTTTTAAGCTGCGTTTGCGTTTGGCCGTCATTTCTGGCCTCCGTCCGGCGGCCTCGGGCACCATAGATTGTCCAGAATGGGCAAGCGATAATTTTCCGGTTGGCTTCGCAGCGCTTGTCCACGACAGCGCGCTTGGGCTCTGTGGGCCAAGGTTCTTCCGCAGCAACGGCTTGGAGCAATTGCAAGGCATGGGCCAGGGCAATGTCGGCGACCTGTGCGGTTTTGATGCTCTCTGCACGGGTTGGGTCTGGATGCTCTGCATGCAAGATCAAGTTGGTGCATTCCACGGCGCCGCGGCAAACTCCTCGAGCAAACAAATCAGTGCACAACCTCTTGCTCACTCTGGCGCCCAAGTAGCCGGTAGGTTTGCCTGCCAAATCCAGGTGGAGTTCTCTTTGGCCTTTGATCCATTCGTTCGCCTCACGAGTGGCAATCTTGAGGCGCTTGCATCCGTAGTCGCACTGGTAGCCCACCTGCATTCTGGGTCGGCGACGAAGAGCGCTGGGATAATGGACGGAATTCAAAAAACAAGCGCAACATGATTGAACCTGAATGTCCGACACCCCCTGCCTGAGCAGATTGGGTGATCTGCGCGTCCCGAGCCAGTGTCCAAATCGGCACCTTCTGGTCGCATTGTTGGTCGCAGCTGCTGTCATGCGTCTCTGGTGTGATGGGGAAGCGAAATGGTAGTTGAACATCTCCATTGCAGCGCAGGCTCGCAAGGAGGGCCGGGTGGTTTCCATTGATGTTGGCCTCATTGCAAGGCCCCAAGGCATCCCAACCATGCTTCGCTTGCCCTTACAGGGCATGCCCATCTCAGCCGCCAGGCCAGAACAAATGAGGATTGCAGAGCTTGTAAGCCACGCGTCTCGGGGAAAGAAGCTTTTGCATTTTCTTTTGTCCTCACAAAATCTGCAAGAGGCGCTGGGCAAAGTCAATATTATCGCAAAGAATAAGACCCCGCTCAAAGATATATAATCCGATCTTTTCATGAAACAACGCAAACCCATTGTTAATGGATTCGGTTGTCCTTGGGGTCTTGGCAATGCTGCAAGGGCTGCCGCGTGCCGTTCTCGTCCGGCATGTGGACATGGTGCTGCTTGTGTTTCTGAAGCGCTTCGACGTCTGTCTCTAGATATGCATGGAGCCATTCTTCAGCCGGCGAAGCGCTATCCTTTTGATAGCTTGGGCGGCTCAGCATCAGACTTGAATTCTTGTATTCTGGCCATTCTGACTCCAGAGCATCCCTCTCGTTGCTCCATTCTTCAGGGTCGCTGTAGACCTTGCGGGTGACGTAGGCAGAATAGTCTGAGTACTTGCGAAGTAGTTCCAGCATTGGCTCTCGGCCCAATTTGACGAGCTCGCTCAGCGGATTGAATTGGTGGTAGCATTGCAGAAAGAATTGGCCGTGCAAACGGTAGGCCCCGTTCTTCTGGCATTCTAAGGAGCCATAGGCAGCATCAAAGCGTCCAAACACCCCACCGGCAGCTGTAGCATTGCTGCCGAAGGCATCCGTGCAAGGTCTGCCAGATTGCGCGCAGTCTGGGCAGCGTGGACACAGTCTGATGCCAAAGATGTGCCGGAAAGCTAACCCCACCAGTGTCAGAAAGCCATTGAGGCAGGCAAGCGGGTCACGGGCCAAGATTGCCTTGCGCTCTTCATAGTCAGGCAAAGCCTCGAAACAGTTTGACATTGCAGCGTGGTTACGAACAGTTGCAGTTCTTGCTTTCACTGCACTCTTTTTGAAAATCACAGCAAAACCCGCCTCTGCTAACGCTGCTGGTGACAATTGGATAAAATCGACGTCCAGTGGAGGGCATTGTCTTTGGTACAAGGCCTTGGCCTTGTCGTGCAACAGAGCAGGATCGCTTTGTCGCGCGCGAGCCATGCGCAGCATGATGGTGGTGTCCCTTTCGGCAGGTGAAAACGTGAAGAAGCACGCCAGCCCATATTTCACACGGTAGCTGTGCGTCTGATGCCTCATAATTTTGCGAATTTCGTGTGTCCCGGGCACGCTGCGCGTCCTAGCTTCCGTATTGCTCAATACTTTCAGAGCTGCAGGTGAGAGGTTCGGGACGTAGCGCAACTTGGTGAAGTCGCCGTTGACGGCTTTCTCGTCCCCATTGACATCGACGTACCTATAGCAGCATACGGCCGCGTGTGGCTCAAGCTCTGTTTTCTGCAACTGGCGACGCGGTGGCTTCGTGCACTTGTTGCAGCCCAGGCACTTACCATGGTGAAGAAGATTGTAGATCTGGACCGTGCCTTTTGCAATCTCGTCTTCAGTAAGCATGCGGCGCCCTGGGCCAGTCTCGTTGGGGACGGAGAAAATGTGCGAGTTCTGCTGCAAGTTGATCTTGGTCCGGAAAAGGTAATTCCAGAGAGTCGGAGGAAAATTCCAATCCCGGCGGAACTGTGATGCGACTTGCCTTTGCATTGCTGCCCCCCAGGCTTCGACGCCGACTTCGGGCGCATGTGGGTCGCAAGCTTTGCGCCTCGAGTATTTGCTACCATCTTCCTCGGATTGCGGGATTGGACATGGACATGACTCAGAAATGCCGCGAGCTATAGGTAACCGGGGGCGCCGGTCTAGAAAAACAACCGCGTTTCAGTGCGCCGAGTGACATGCTGGCCGGATACTTTCTGCACATCAGGCCCCGCTGTGGCATATGGAAAGAGAAAGCAAAAGGCCACGCACCAATAGTAAGACTCGAACTGATCCAAGAGTTTGTTCCCCGTGCGGATTTCCAGCGCTCGCTCGCTGGCAGCACGGTCGGCTTCGCTCATCATGTTCTCTCTGAGGTCTTGAAGCGCTGCAGCTTGGACTTCATGCGCTTGATGCAAGCTCTGCCCTTCTGCAACTACGGCGCGGGGCCGTTGAGCTGCGAAGACGGCGCCTGGCACAGCGCAGGGGCGGAAAGTTTTATTTCCTCGCAGTGGCGATGCTTCGACGAAAAGCGACACGCCTGCTTCGACAATGTCTGTGTGCATGCCGTCCGTTGGTGTTGCGGCCTTCTGTGGCTGGAGTGAATCTTTGGCGTTGCTGACTTCCTGGATCACTTGGTAGACTTCTGGAGGGATGCCGTCTTCAGGGAGGGCTGCAGCGTTCCGGCGAACCACCTCTTCTTCTATACCGGCAAAGGCTAAGTGGCCCAGCTTCTTCATATCCAGGATAAGGTTCACCACTACCTGCGAAAATTGGTTGGTGCTGCTGCTACGAGTTCAATTGAAAACCTAGCTGATCTAGCTTATAGCTATATTTCATTTGAATTTAGGCGCCTCTCTTCGCACATTGGCTTGATGTATCAATGTCTTGATGTCTTCCTCCGACGTGTGGCCATCCTTGTTGGTTCGCAAAATGACTCGCACGACGTCGCCCAACTGCTGGCCAGATCGGGGCAACGGTGGAGAAGCCTCATCTGAGTCTAGGAATTCGTTCAAGGTCCGCAAGATTTCTTCTGTGGGCAAGGGAAAGGTGATGACGTTTCCTCTTGCGCCATACCTGTGCCGAGCCATGTGGGCTTGCTCATCAAAGGCTGAGGTCTTTGAGTGTGCACGATGCTTGCTCTCCATGCTCATGAGAATCATAGATGTGAGGGCTGGGCTGGCACAAATCAGTTCCATGGCAGTGACCTTGTCTGTGTAAATGCGCTTGAGACCATATCCTGTGAACATTTCGTTGGCATAGCTTAGCCGTGGAAGCTTGGCCTTGGTGAGGTCCTCGTGGCACTGCCGGCAGACGGGCACTTCGCACTCTTCGCAAGCAAGGACCTTGTCGGTGGCATGTGCCGGCTGCGCTCGACAACGGTGATCCTGGCGTTGGGCCGGCGAGCGATTGAGATTTATAGAGAGTTGGACGAACTTATTCACACATTAGAAAGCTTTATTTCGCCATCAGCTCGCCGATTATTGAATGTCCTCAGGGCAGCAAAGCAAAGCTTTGTCGCCAAGCTTGAGCGTCCAGTCTTCAAACGATTCGTGGTCCGACAATTTGGAGCCGGTACGATCGTTGATCAAATCGTACTTGTCCAAGTAGGCCTCCAGTCCGATCAAATCTTGCACGCGTGCAAAGGGGAGGTCAAAGAACTTGAGCTCTTCTCCCGGCGATTCACGCTGGAGGGGCTTATACCACTGGATGTCACCCTTGTCTGCGATCTCAGCCACGTATGGATAAACGCCCCCGCAGCACATGCAAATTAGGGACTCCACCTAGCAGCAGGAAGCAGCAAACAGGAGCAGACAGAAAGACACAGGTGTGCTTGCAAAACGAATTGACTTGTCTCCTTTAATGCGTCGTATTATGCACACACCTGCTCACCAGCTGTCGCGTCGGCAAAGGATTTCAAAGCCTTGCGATCGAAGGAGGCGCCGGCAAGGGGCGCTTCTGTCCGGCACCTTTCCGCGACCGCGGCGGAATATACACTGAACAGTGCATCTTCTGCGTCACGGCGCAGCATGTGCCGAGAGATGTTCTGCAAGTCATCGCAATGAGCCCGCTTCAGATGGGAGTGCAGCGCGTCTTCTGGTCCATCTTGTTCTGCCCAACTGCAGCCCTTGAAAGCGCAAAAAGTACGTGGCCACAATCGACCGGCATCTTTGTCTGCAAGAGTTGCATCTGGTGGCATGGTCGGGTTCTCCCGGATGCATCGGTAAGCCAAGTCCTGGCTAAAGCGTCCAACGTTTGATTGACATTTGGACTTCTTGCAAAGCTACGAGCAGAGGAACAATTGACAAACGCTACAACTGTTTTGTCCTTGATCAAATCCTCCACCAAGCGATGTGGGTGGTTTGATTGAGCTGCCACCGCGCAATCTGAGAGGTCTTGAAGTAGGTCAGCCTCTGGTTCTTGAGGTGGGAGGGGCATGTCCCCTGCCTTGGGCGCTGCTGCTTCCGCCTGCTTGGGCGTGGATGCTTTGGACTTTCCTGCGCCTTTCTTTGGCTTGGGCGCCTTGAACTTAGAGCTTCTCTGGTGCACTGCGGCCTCGCTTGGTGCCCTCAACAGTGGGAAATCTTCCTCGGCGGGGGTTGGTTGCACAAGCATGCGCAGTATTGGATTGACTATTTCCAAAACCTTATGGAACCAAGATGGAGATGCGCAACCAAAAAAAAATGTTCATGCATATCGCTTTGTTTCTTCTGGGACAACTTCTGCCTTGACGTATTGAGGTGGCGGCGGCTGCGGCCAGGCCGGTGGAAAACCAGAGGCGTCCTCTATCTCCAGCAAAGCATCATAGTGGTCGACGCCGTTGTAGAGGACGTGGATTGTTTCTACCCCATCCTTGCGCCAGGAAGGGGAAAGACAAAGCAGCGTTTCCTGTTATCAATCATTTCATGTTTTGCGTTTTATTGCGTCATGCTTGCAGCTAGCTGAGGCACTTGAGAAGCCACAGACGGGTGGCTGTGCTCTGCAACGTTCACGTCGCCGCCCTCTGGCTTTTCGTGGACAATGACCCGTTTCTGTCTCATAGCGGAATAGGCCACGATAGCCATTTGCCCTCCCCAATGCGTGTCGTCGCTGCGTAGATAGTTTGCCTCTTCAGCCCAAGTTGTGCGTAGGGCGGGGTCATCCTCAGCAAGGACTTCCATAAAATCAATCACTTCGGTCTTTAACTCGGGACCGGCGATGCTTTCGTGCAAGGCCAGCGCATGAAACAGGCAATTCCCGTCGCCCGCGACTTTGACCACGCACATGATCTTGACTGGCGTAGTGTTGGCTGCCATTGGCACGCTGTCCTGCTAAACCCACCAAGGCCAAAAAAAAAATCAGCAAGCAAGCGTAGCCACAGAGAAGTTTGAGTCAGTCCTTGTGAACCTTGGCAGGCCAAATGCGAATTGAGAGTTACGGGTTCGAGCTTGAGGCGAAAAATGGCCGCGGTGTTCAGCTGTATATAACAAGCCCGGGCTGCGATGCATGTTGGTTAGACTAGCGGTTTTGGAAATGTATCCACCTCAATCAGCCACAAACATGCTTGGATGCAGGAGGGGCTAGTCAGCCCGCTTCGCTCGCTTCTGCGTTGGCGTGCGGGCGTTCTGCTTTTTCTGCACCGCGCCACGCCGGTCTGCACTTCCGCGCAGCACCTTCCTATACAAAATCACGCAAGTGCACCATGCTGTGGACCCACTCTGGTAAACCCTCGCCGTTTGGCATTGCCCGACGCAGGATGCTCTGGAGGTCCCTCAGAAAAGGGCCGGGGCACGAGCTATTGAGAGTTAACCACACATACACCGACAGCACTTGCAGCACATGCCCGGCAATGTCGCGGTCTCTTCCTGGAGCACCTGCCCAGGATTGAAAAGAACCCCATAAAGATGGAGCAGGTGCATTTGGCGGCGGAGGTGGTTGATGATGCGCCCCCCAGCTAGACGATAAAGACCCAACGACCGTCATCTCCACCAATGCATCATAGTGGCGCTTGCCGTCATAGAGGATGTGCGTTGTAGGTGCGTTGGCCGGCGCCGTTGAATGGCTGAGGTCTTGCACATCACAAACACCGTTCGCCCGCCACGTGTGGACGAAAACCTTGCGGCCTCGCATTGCAGAGTATGCCACCACAGAGGTGTGCGTGCCCCAGTTTGCATGATCCCGGTCTCTGAGACGGCTGGCCTCTTCTGACCAAGCCCTTGTTGCATCGCTTGGAACATTGTGGCGGGCACACACATCCAAAAAGTCGGCAAGCTCTTGCTTCAAAGCTTCTCCGCTGCAGAAATCATGGAAAGCCAGGGCGTGGAACAAGCAGTTGTTGCCCCGCTGCATGAACATCACACCAAGCACCTGAACAGGTTGGGGGCGCTGTAACAAACGACAGGAACGTTTGGAAGCATCGGTATTTCTAGCCTTGAGGTTAGCTGCCGGCACAAGTGTGGACATTGCTGCTTGGCACTGCTCGGCTGGCCACCGGCGGATTAGAAGGGCTCGGGTTTGAAAGTTTGAGCTGCGGAGGGCAAAGCAGCGCCAGCTTAGGAAACAGAAAATCGCCTGGCTGCGTACAACGACTCTTGGCTCCACCATCTTGGACACATGGGGCATGATGTATGTGTGACGCGGAGTTCCGGCCAGGGGGTGCTTTCACTGAGAATTTTTATTCGGAAAGATCGCGCAGGCAATCCTTGAGCAGCGCTCGCCATGTATCTTTCGCAGCTTTTCCGCAAAACACGCGCCGTCGCTATTGTTCAGAACTCGCCATCATAGACCTCTTGGAACCAAATGATTCCATAGACGCCGTGAATTTCAAATTCAAGTACAGCTGAAGCTTCTGCCAGCTCGTCATATTCAAAATCGAAACGCACTGGGAACCAGTGGAAAATCCAAATGCCTTGATCGACAATGGTCATGGCCTGCTTGACTAAGGGGGAAGGGTGGTTCAAATCCTCGATCGCCTTCAACACGTTCTGGTTCATATTTCTTTCTCGAAGGATGGTTCGTAAAAGCTGTGGGCGCGCAGGTTCCTCCCACCGCCCAACCAAGCGTCGCCACCAGCGCTCGCAAAGGCACCGACGGCGGCCGCGAAAGCCCAGCAAATGCACTCGCGCAGCAACTTGCCCAAGCATTCCAGGGCACTCCAGCACTCGCCCGTTCAGCTGCAGCAGAGGCAGAGCCACCAAGCGCCAGATAATCCGCGCAGAGCGAAGGAAAGCTCGAGCAGGGAACGTCGAAGGAAGTGCTGCTGGCACCACAAAACACATTGGGCAAGCCAAGCGCTCCATGAGCTTTGTCGCCGCATTTGTGACAGCAGCGGTTGCCGCCTCAGGCGCCCAAGTTTTCGACACAAGAGCTAATCGAGCTTGCGTTGGAAGGTCTAAGTGTGCAAACACTGCGGCCAAGATATCAGGCTTCCACCATGCCGCAATTGCCATTCTGCAAAAAGGCTTGCGACTTTATGGCGGGCAACGATGGCTTGATATGCAAAAGGCTTCTGAGACTGGAAGTTTCGCGGTTCTGAAGTTCTGAAAGGATTCAGCACACCGAAGCAGGTGTATACGTGTTAGCTAGACTGCCCAAGTTGATTCAAAAACTTTGACGTAGCGTCAGCACTTTTATACCGCGCGTGCTCATTTCAATCCTGCGCCGCGTTCCCGTCCTGTGGCCTTGCCGGTAGTCCTGTACTTGCAGCTTTCTCAATGACAGCATGGGAACAACTCCGGTTTCAATAGTGAAAGAAAACGTCTCTAAAATAAACAACACCGTACACGCCATGTATGTTGAATTCTAAGACGGCTGCAGCGTCTATCAGTTCTGCTTTTTCATCGTCGCAGGCCCATGGAAACCAATGAAACGACCAGGCGGCGCCATTTAAGACAGCCATGGCCTCGTCAACATAAGGGTCTTGGCTATTCAAAATTTGGATTGCTTCAGGAATGTTCTCGTCTAAGCTCTGGTCGCGCAGTTCCCGGCGCAAAAGCCAAGGTTTAGGATTTAAAACTCAACCACAAACACGCAGGCGTAACACGGCT